CTGTTGTCATGGTGCTTGCTGAAGTCCTCCCAGTAAGACCAGAGGTGACTCATCCTCCAGGGAAGGAAACTGGGAGGAAGAGTTCCACCGGAAAGTCGCTAAGGGGGTTTAGCTCAGGACAACAAAGTAACGATGAGCAGTTTACCTTTATGACAAACAGCACTGATACAGGAAGGAACAATGCAAACAATCACAATGATTTCAGGTGTTAGTGAGGTCTTTCACCCTACTCTAACCTCTGTGTAGGAACATGCAGTAAGTCAATAAATTACTTTTAGTCAGTCAATAAATCTTTTAATTACTGACACATTACAGCTTCCAGTTAACTGCATTGTATTGTGAAGAGCAGAATAGTATCATTGTAGCTTTTTCTGTATGGTAGTATATCAGAATTGTAGGTGGTCTTCTTGAATCACAGTGTCCTTTATGTAAGATGGCAACAGAGGATCTCGTCTGTAGATTAGGGCTCTAAGTTCCTCAGTAGGGGAGCATATTTTCCCTGCGGGGGAAGATTTTGCAGTTGCCAAAATTGCCTTATCTGCACAAAGAAGACTGGTCTCCAGCAGTGAGAGACTGACTCACATCAATCCGCTTGTCAGTAAATCTGTACGCCGATTCATTATTTACCTTTCCGTTAAAAATAAATGGAATAAACAAAATATACCGAGCCAATCAGGGCTGATGCCCATGCATAACACAGTGAGATACGAACTGATAAAATATGGAAATGGTGAATTAGCAATGACCCTAAATCAGATGTATTCGGACAGATCAGAGGTGCATCTTGGTAGATGTCTGTCACATAGTGAAGACAGTAACTGTCATCTGTCATGACTTCAGTGGGGAAACAGCACAGATGCCATGAGATCGAGTGAACGAGGGTTTATTAGGAGAGAGAAACAAAGACAGGAACGTTTAAGAAATGCAGGACGGACGTCAATGGCCGGACTGGGGAAACGTACTTTAACGCGGACTTACACAGGACTAATTAACAACAATGAGAAACGGCTGATTACATGGGGATTCCACATGAGCGTAGCACATGGGAGGGTCGGACGATCAAGGCATGACATCATCGCTGATGCCCCCCCTACATCTTTTATGGTTTATGAATCAATTGTTTTTTTTTATGCCTGGGTTGCACTTTGAATCTGCCCATCAAATCACTGAGTCAGAGGAGCAGTAGGACTATTGAGGGACCTCAGCAGGTTGTCTGTCATGGGTCAAGGTGCATGTCTACTTTAACTTAAGGGGGAAAATGGAATAATGACCTGACATTGATTTTTTTGCTCTGTTTTTGATTGGTCTCAATTTATCTCAGTGTAGGACTCAGTATAAGACTTAGTGTCACATCCTCTACATACATTTTGAAAATTGGAAACAACTTGTGATCTGTGTCATTAGATTAACCTGCTTTTTGGATGTGTTGTAACCCATTGTGTTTCAGCTTATCGGAGCATTTTCTAACCACTTTCAGGGGGAAATTGATTCTGCCCATAGGCAATAGCCTATTGATTGGGGGGGGGGTTGGTGCTAGCATGCTAACAGTGTAGTTGATCACATAGATTCTGCTGCACAATTCCAGGCAGATTTTACCACTTTTGATGCACTATTTCTGAAAACGTGCAGAATTTCCTGAAGCTGGCTGACAGTTTTTCTTTTCGGGGCACGGCGAAGAAGTGTGAAGTTGCCACACGTGACCCACATGCAGCGTTACATAACTGTGTTTGCATGGCATTAATAATGATAAATAGCATTCGGGAATGATTTACAGAAAGGGTGAGAACAGGAAGATTGGTGCGGGGATGGGCACAGAATGGGGGCAGGTTTTCGCTTTTAGAGTTTATAGGGGGAGAACAGGAACTGGGTCAACAGAACATGTAGGGGAAATGAAACAAAGATCTGTTTTTACGAAAATGCGTTGGAAATGGGTTGCTGCGTTGCTGGAAAAAATCTGTGGGGTAGATCTGCAGTGTGTATGAAGGATTTTGCACAATAAGCACAGCTTGTATGAGCTGGGGACACTGGAGGACAGACCATATATATATATATATATATGAACTGAACTGTTTTGCTGATGCGGTAAGGCTTTTCATGCTTGTTTGATGGCAAAACAACACGCCATCTTCCTGCGCCTGAATTTGCAATCGCAAGATATCCACGCAGATGGCATTCAGATGACATTTTAATATCACTTGTATTGTCTGCTATTTTAGTTGCTAGTAATTAAACTGGAAAATTGGCCAGCTCTGATAAAAAATTTTGCATGTCAATAAAGAAAAATTATACCGATGTCTGACAATACTGAGTTATGCTGCATAAAACATAAAGTCATGTTAATTTCAAACAAATTTGAACTGTGGGCCATGTTGTGGTTTAGTGTGTAGTGCTGTTGCAACTGGTTCTGTGGGGTTTGCATGTTCTCCTCTGGTATGCTCACGCTCTCCAGTGACATGCAGTTGGGGTAAATTACCCTTTTCCTTGATAACATTGTTATAGAGCTTCAGTTAAGCAGGAAACCACCTGACATGTCTTTGTAGGTTCTCTGCAGAAGTTGTCTGAGATGTTGGTTGTGTTGTGTGTTAGGGTTAGGGTTAGGGCTATCTAGTTTAAACCAATTTTATGGGTCTGAGGTCAGAATGTGGGTTTGAGGTCAGATCATTTGTTTGAGTTGTCCTTCACTTTCCGTTTTCCCTGGGTAGTTCTTGCACAGTTTCGCGGTGTGTTTTGGGTCGTCCTGCTCAATCATCTGTAATCCTGATGAAATGGTGCGCCTTCGAAGTTAACTATGATAGTCGGGCTGGTTGAGATTGCCTTGGATTTTGTATAGGTGCCCGATTCTGCCACCAGCAAAGCAACCATAGACCACAGTACTGCAAACATGTAGATCACATGTGTTCTGTCATTGTGCATTTAATAAATACATGGCAGTAAGGCCCAAATATTTCATATTTTGACTCACTAGTCTGTAAGGGTTATACCCACTCCTGTTAGACATATGCATATCTAGCTATAGTTTCAAGCATGTGTACTCAAACCTTTGATGATACAGTACACATTTGGACTGCATTGTGCTTCAAATTCCAAGTCAGACTTAAAATATGCTTATTAATTCCCCAAGAAGCAGGGTCACGTAATGTGAAATCTTTACTGCACTATTCTACTGATGGCTCATGTCCAAAGTGCGTTAACATCTGAAAGTGATCAATTAGCCTGGGCTGACAAAGCAGATATTACGACCGCGGAACCTTTTTCAATACAGCATCAGTGACATTGGCAAAATGAACCAGCTATGTTTTCTGAGCATAAGCTATTCTATAGTTAACTGGCATCCCATCCAGGGTGAACCCAGCCTTGTGCACCCCTGTAACCCTGATCTGGATATGGGTGGATGGATGGGTGGATGGATATTCTACGGTTACTGGTTTTCAGGAGCACAGACCTGAACTATGAAATGCATATTCAAATTCTGTCCCTAGAACTGTATAAGCTGAAAACATGTGTCATTCCTAAGGCAAGTAGGCTTGTATATAAATATTTGAGACAAACAGTATTAAATCTATTTAGCTCAATGCAGCAAAGTATCGAATGTCACACAGTAAATATATCAAAAGTGTCTGGCATGGGGACCTCGGTCCTGTGTCGTGACCCAAGTCTTTGACCTGTGGGAGTTGCCATGGTAACCAGTGTCTATATAAAACCCAGAGGCAGCAGCAGTCCAGAGAGGCTGCGCCGCGTGACACAGACAGGATGGCGGATTACCGGTAGGGCCTGTCAGCACCTTGTGAACTTCTTTCTGGCTGAAGGAAGCTGCTGGGAGGCTCGTCAGAACCAACACCAGCTCTTGTTCTGTAGTGTCGAGATAAGGGGTGCGGCTTGGGCTTGACACTGAGTACTGCACGCATCTCTGTGAATGAGTGCCATGTTTACTGAGACACATGCTAAACTGACATGTGTGTCTCAGTGAGTCTACTCACCTCTCCAGGGCCGGGGGCTGGAATGCTGCCCCCGTTCTCCCTGTGCGTTTGCATGTTCTCTCCATATCATGCAGGTTTTCTCTGGCACTCAAAAAATGTGCAGTTAGGAGGACAGCCATCTCCAAATTTCCTGTGGTGTGTGTGTCCTCCAGACTTGCCATAACCCTGTTCTGATTACAATGTTTATTGTTATCATATGTTTCTTATTAATATGTACTACAGCTGTTAAAGTACGTTAGGTTGTTAAGATATATTTACATGCTGCTTATGAATGTTCTACGAATGCATTATAAAGGCATTATGAAGGTGCAGTTAATGTAAAGCATTACCTTATGTTCTATTTATTTAGCAGACAGTTGGAGTCAGGGGCCCAGCAGTGAAATCACTCCACCGACTTTTAAACCACAGGCACAGAATTGTAACCCACACTGCACCCCCACTGCACCACATTTATACAAAGCGACTTCCAGTGGAAAGAAGTGTTACAATTTTCATGTGCGCTCATTCAGATTTGAGCACTCAACTTCAGCATTATTAGTGCAATACTGTACTTGTAGTGCTCCAGTGTCGTAGTGGGATGTGTGATACGGCTTAAATCGGACACAGAAGATCTTTGGTCAGACCCATCAGATCAGGGCCTGAACCCTCAGCCAGTGACTCACGGCATGAGCTTCAAATACACAGCGCGTGGTGTCTGCGGACTCCCTAGGCTGGCACTGCGCGTAGAGGCACATGAGAGCACAGCGAGGCTGGGCATCCGTGCCCGGGTCTCATACCCTCGCACAGCGTCAGAGGGCACGGGCGGTTCTGCTGACTCGCTGTGGGAGCCTGTTCAGAGCTGCTCGCCCAAGCCCCGGCACCATGAGAAAGCGGCGCTGTGCAGTATGCTAATGAGTCCGCATGTCATTACCTGCCACTGTGGACCATTGTCTTCTTTGCACTCATTTGAAATTTAAGCTTGAAACAAAGACATTGAATCACAGCACAGAAATGTAAAAAAAAAAAAAAAAAAAAAAAAAAAAAGAGAAGAAGAATGTATTTGATGCTGGGAAGAATAGGCCCTGCTTTGTTTTGATCCATGAACAACACTTACAAACACTAACAATTGATTCATATTATACACAAAAGTATGTGCATATGTATACACTTTCTATAGAATTAATTGAATGAGGAATTCCCCAGGGGCTGAAAGGAATTCTTTGTTTATTCAGACCCGGTCATTTTTATGACTGAAAGCATAATAAATATTATTTGTTTCTAAATGGGTTTAAATGGGGATTGGCGTCTTGTTCGGGGTCTGTCTTCCCGATGCTGCCTGGGATAAGCTCCGCATCTCCAGGGGTTATGGATGGAATACTCAAATGTATAAACAAACTAGCAAATAAACATGATCAGAATAGATAAATAAACAACAAAATAAACAAACATAAAAAAAAAAAAAACAAATTCAGATCCTGACTACAGTAAATCGGTAAAAAAGTGGTCTTAAAAACCAGCATATAGTGCTACAGATCGAAATTTCTTTTCACACGTTCTAAATAATAAATTCCCGGTGTTCACTCTCAGTTTATTTTTGTACTCCAGAACATTTCAAACGGCTGATGAATTTCATCCCACGGCCTGAGAAAGTCGGCTGGTTCTTGCAGCACGGCCCGCTGGCCCCCCATGGCCCATTTGGACTTCGCGGGGGCCTGTGAGGTCCTCACAGCCACCTGGTGCCTGTCAGGCCGCCTCTGACCGTCACGCCGGCCGTGACCTGCAAATGTGACACGTCCCTTTAAAATCGGACGGCGTGCGCCCATTCGGTGATTCACACTAAACTGAGGAAGAGGAGCCATGCCTGAAAGAACTAGGGTCTGATGGAATGTGGAGGAGCCTTTGAAGGTGCACTCGCAGAAGGCTTGGTTTGGGGCCCTGAAGGGACATTTTTAATACAGTTGTCTCTTGGTATCCATGGGGGCTTGGTTCCAGCATCCCCCTCGGATACCAAAATCTATAGATGTTCAAGTCCCTTATATAAAATGACGTAGTATTAGCATATAACCTATGCGCATCCTCCCACATACATTAAATCAGAGGTGCCCGACCTTTTTTTCAGTAAGAGGTACTTGTACAAATAAAATACTCCCATGAGTTATTGAATTGCGACGGTAAATTTTACCGTTGCCTGGGGGCCCTCGGTATATTTTGCTGACCAGGAGGGGGTGCTCCCCCTGATATAGACCTACTTTGATGATCGCAGTCAGCTGGTTGGCCACCAATGAAATGAAATCCATTAATCGTCTCGAAATCGACCTGGAAGCACACTGCGATCGATCGACGGGTCGGACACCCCTGCTTTAAATCATCTCTAGATTTCTTAAAATACCAGATACAATGTAAATGCTATGTGAATAGTTGATATACTGTATTGTTTAGGGAATAAAGACAAGGAAGTCTGTACATCGTAGTTCATACAGAAAAATTATGAATAGAGAAAATATACATTCATTCTTTCTCTTCAGTTGTGTGGATTGTCGTAGTACTTGATGCGCGGCAAATTCAAATTTAGCTTTTTGGAACTTTCTGGATTGTTTTTCTGTCTAATGTTTTCAATCCACAGATGTGGAAGCCATGGATACGGAGTGCAGACTGTATTTATTTCCTTAATAACCCAATGCGGCATTGCTACCTCACACCTCTGGAGTCCAGGGCCCACTCCAGCTCTTTCCTGTTCCCCCTTGTCATCATGGGATTTCCTCTGGGTTCTCCAGTTCCCCCCTATAGTCCAAAACACACTAAACTGAATTGGAATTGCTATATCATTTGTATGTGTGAACGGTGTGTGTGCAATGTTCTGTTTTTCCGAATTATCTATTTGTGTATCGTACACGTTTTGGTTTGCACCACATTTACTTGTTTGCACCTTGTCTGTTTTGCACTAAATGCATGTTTTTCGGTGTCCTACATACTCACTGCTGTATGCACAAGACCTTTATTCCTCAGGATCAATAAAGTTGATCTTAATCTTAATTTGTCCAAAAATAGCAAAGTACAGTGGAACCTCGGATTACGAGTAACGCGGTTTACGAGTGTTCCGCAAGACGAGCAAAGATTTTTAATAAATTTTGACTTGGAAACCGAGCAAGTCCTGGTTTACG